CGCTTTCGCTGTATGTCCGTATGTATGCTTAGATCTTTAAAACTACGCAACGGATTTTGATGCGGTTTTTTTTATTAGATAGAGTGATTCTTAAGGAAGGTTTGTATGTATATACATATTGCACCCGTGCGAAGCCGGGGCGGGTCGCTAGTAGTTCAATAAATTATTTTTAATTGTTAATAAGTGGCTAATTGACAATATGGAAAACGACCGGCAAGAATACAATGTGGATAACGAACTTCGAGATATGTATTGCAATATTCCATTGTATTGTATTGCAATAAACATGAAGTGTTATCTGTTAATAGTCATGAGTTTTTATTGTTTACAGAAATCTTTGGGTCTGAAGCAGAAGAAGATTCATTTCAAGACTCTGGTTCAGAATACCAGCCATCTGGACGTAATTCGACAGCATCTACTACAGATTTCATTGAGATTTTCGGTGACGAAAACCAATCCCCAAATAATGTAACTTCTGAAATTACTCCAGTTCAATGTAAACCTAGAAAAATAGTGAGACAATCTAGGAAATCGAAGCAGAATGTGAGAAAGGAAAAGCGTTCAAGAGGTGAGGAATATATTAATGAAAAGGTGTTCTAGTGCCACCAAACCAAATTGATACTGCTCGTGAGTGTAATTGTCAACATACGTGTCATAAAAAGATTCTGTTCAACAGCTTATATGTTTTGGGAAATTATATCTTGCAGACATCTTACCTTTTTTCTTTAATTAAGGTGATGCCAAAAAAGCTAGCACTGCTTCTGCTGAATCTAGGCGTTCAAATTCCCTTGAATTTGTATACACCCTTGTGTATCAAGTTCTTAATGGTGATGGCTTGTATGTTATTGTATGCAAAACATATTTTAAAAAGATTTTTGATGACAGATTGTCTAGAGTTTTAAATGACAAACTAGTTATTCCCATACCTCCCACAGATCTTAGAGAAAACCATCTGCCTTCAAATAAAACTCCAGAGAACAAAATACAAATTGTTAAAAACTTTATCAATAAATTTCCCAAATATAAGTTACATTATACCCTACTCCCTACTCAAGAGCACAAACCGAATGTATTTAGCACCTGACTTGGACTTGCCTAAACTGTTTCTTTATATAAAGAAGAAACACCACCTTTTGAACAAGTGTCAAATTTTATGTTTAGAAAAGTTTTTAATGAGCAATTCAACATATTTTTTCATGCACCAATTACTGATTCCTGTAAAAATGTGAAAATTTTAATATAAAAATAGAAGCTGAAGAATCATTTGTCAAAAAGGATAAACTTGATTCTCAAAGCAAACTACATCTCTTAAAAGCCTTTAAGAGATGTAGTTTGCTAAATTATTTCTTGCAGATTCAGCCGAATCTGCAAGAAATAATTTTAAGATAGATAAGAATAGAGCTGCAGATTTTTTTTTTTAATGGAATAGGAGGCAAACGAGCAGACGGATCACCTGATGGTAAGCGATCAGCGCCGCCCATGGACACCCGCAACACCAGAAGAGTCACAGGTGCGTTGCCGGCCTTTTAAAAAGGAGTACGCTCTTTTCTTGAAGGTTTCAAGGTCGTATCGGTTTGGAAATACCGCCGACGACAGATCATTCCACAGTTTTGCTGTGCGAGGCAGGAAGCTACGTGAGAACCGCACAGTTGTGGCCTGCCAACCATCTATATGATGGGGATGCATATGCTGTCGTGAGGGTCGATGGCGAAAAGATGCGGCAGGTATCAGGTCAAACAATTCCTCAGAGCACTCCCCGTGGTATAAGCGGTAGAAAATGCACAATGAAGCTACATCTCTACGCATTACCAAAGTGTCGAGCCGGTTTGAAACATCCGGACATCCAACAATTCGAACGGCACGCAGCTGATTGCGGTCTAGAGGAAGAAGCTGGTACTAGGGTGCCCCCGCCCAAAGATGAGAACAGTATTACATGTGGGACCGCATCTGTGCCTTATATAGAGGTAGAAGCAGGCGGTGGGTCGGGGTGAAATACTGCCTCGATCTATTGAGCACACCAAGCTTCCTCGAGGCTAATTTGGCCTTATCCTCTAAATGACCGCAAAACTGGACGTCACTCGAAATGTTGACACCAAGTATTCAATATCGGCTGAGGCAGTTAGGGGGGTGCTTTGAAACTGAGGAGAGACGACCAACGGCAGTTTCTTAGCGGTAAACACGCAGACTTGTGTCTTAGTGGGGTTAAACTGTTAAACTGTGCTCCCTGTTGAATTTCTTTACCGATTCTAAAAGGTGCTCCTTAGTCAAGCAACTATTGAACTCCACCATAATAGGTCCACTTGTCTCGCTTTTGGTGTTAACTCTGAAAATATCTCTAATGTCACTTTTATGAATTTCAGTGTTAAGAGGATTGTTTTTTTCTCGACCAGGCTGATAAGATCGTGCTTAGTTTCCTTAGTACTCAGCTTAGGTATGTTACGAATCTCGACGGCAGTAGACTTCGGCCAAATTCCATTTTCTCAATTATTATAGACTGCTTTTGAGTTGTGACATACACAAGTTGCTCCAACTTGTGTATGTGCTCCTGGTCCAACTGACGTTCTTTTAGGAGAGAATTCATTTTAGAATTCATGTCGTCGTATTGAACTGATATAAATTTAAGTGATTGTGTTAGTTCTTTATTTTCATCAGTGAGCCTCTTAAGAGATGACAGAATTTGGTCGTATTTGGTGTCTTGGGAGCTTTTCCATTGGTTCAAAAGCTCCACCATCTCAGTTTTAAACGACGTAATGTCTTCTCGAAAGTCCTGGTCGAACTTTCTTTTGGGTCTGCGAGTGTTCGCGTTAGGGGGGAGGTCTTCCATTTGTTGACCTGGGTCCCGTCCACAAGATGAAATACTTAGTTCAGAGTCATAGTGTTGCAATACCATTGATGTAGCAGTCGGAGGGGCCGCTTCCCGAGGGGAACTTTTTTTAGACATTTCCGTAGTTTATTATTATATTGCAAATAGCCACAGTTCAACCAATGTCAACAAAATAGGCAGCAAGGTTCTTCTAGTTTGTATATTATGCAGTGTTAAGAATCCACATTAGAAGCCACACCTGCTGTGCTTGGCGGCGGGGGTCAAAGGCATGGTCGAGGGCGGGGTCAAGTAGTGGAGGTGCGCAGGCGGCGCCAGACTCGTAGGGAGTAGGCGCGGCTTTGATCTTATTGATTTCTTATTCGCTAATTACTCACATCTATCGAAACGACGGACACTATTCTCACCACCAATCTCTGAAAAGGCTAATTTTCCCGAGACGACCGTTATTGCATCAATCGCTACTGTTGAACATGAAATGGTACCAGCTACTAGGCCCATTGATGTAACTCCAGTCCCATCCCCAGTTCGTCCTCATTGCGAAAACTGTGAATCTCGCTTTTGCCCCATATGTGTAAACGACTGTATGATGAGTATTGATGACGTCTATGATAATCTCCCAACACCTTCAACAATGACTGACGCTTCTACTATTGTAACTCCCTCTACACACACAGTTTCTAGAAAAAAAACTTACAAAACTGATATTGGCAAGAAAGGACTAAAGCACAAAAATAATTGGATTGTGGTACAAAGGAAGAAATTGAAGAATGAAGAAAAAGCTTATGAAAACTACAAAGGAAAACAAATAGCAGAAAAGTCATTAGGTGAAACTTGTGGACAAACTTGCCGCTACAAGTGTACAGAAAATATAGATGCAAACCAAAGAAGATTTTTACAAAGTTCTGGGGACTAAGCGATCGTAAAAGGCATGGAGTTTGTGATCAAATACACCAAAAAACTTGCTAAAGGACGTAAAATTACAGAAGAAACTAAACACAAGCGGGAAAACACTTTCGTCTACTACCTACCAAACTCACAGAAATAACCTAAAAGGGTTTGTAGAAAGATGTTTTTAAGCACAATATCGTCTGGTG